CACTGTTTATTCTGGAAGCCCTTCACCTTAGAACACAAACCGCAGCAGCCAGGAATAAACTGGTCACAGGTAGCTTACTGAATAGCTGATGGTGTTTGAGTATCAGTCTAGGCTAATCCAATATTGTTGTTTTCTTCATGGAAAGTAATGACAGCTGGTGGATCTGTTCCAGCGCTTTGTGCTGACACTCACATAGTGCAACTTTAGTGGCTTGATCATTTCAGTGACAAATGTGCTTTAGGATTTGCCTGCTCTTTTTTACCACTATTTCTGCGTTTTACTGACATTTTGTCATAGCATTGGTCACTGTCTTAAAAAAATACCTTTTCTGTTTCTGTTATGTTTTATGGTTGACAAAGCTCTGACTTTGGACAAAATCTTGCTTCTTCTGTTAGAATAAAAATGTTTTCTATTTGTGTTCCTTCATTTTTAGTGACTTCATTGTCAGACATTTGGTCACATTATTAACACATGCTTTTCTCATTCCCTTCTCTGTTTGTTATTGAGGATGACTGAGCGTGACTCCCTTCCCTGCCTGTTTTAGCCTGGGTCTGTATAATGCCTGTCCAGAAAAGTAGCTTGTAGTTCCAAGTTCACCCAATTCCCTTCACAGTATTCATTGCAGTGGATTTCTGCCACTTCCTTAGCTCGTGAGCATTGACAGGGTTGGATGCATTTTTTTCCTCTCAGTCTACAGATCTGCAGCTGAAGTAGCTGACCGCAGAACTTACTGTAACACTTTAAACATTCATATTTACTTAGGCGAAGTCCAGTGATAACAGTAATTGTTTTTCTGTAGCGCCTGGAATTTTGAAATCGTAACTGCACATGATGGCTCCATGGTGACCCACTGTTCAAATATTTTTTTAACTCTTTTTTTTTTTTCTTAAACAGGGACGCAAGAGCGAGGCAGAGAAGTACTTTGTGAAGGCTATTCAGCTGGACCCTACCAAAGGCAACTGCTACATGCATTATGGTAAGGTTCAGAGAGGACACGGGGTTTCCACATGTGTTCCAGGCTTGCTACTAGTCACCCAGAGTGATGAAAGATTTGAAAAGTGCTACTGGCAAAATACCTCCTTTAAAGGGAAAGAAACTAATCTACTGTGTATAACTTCATTTCAATTTGTTAATCACTGCAAAGGGAGAGGAAAGAGGAAAATTTTCATATTTTAAATTGCTTTTCTCCTGCGAGGAGAATTTCAGCATTGCTGCCTCTCTGGGAAAGAAGGAAGGTGGCTATGGCTGTACGTCAAAGCTTCAGAGCCTGGAATTATTATTAACTGTGTTGGCCTTGCTTTGCTTCTGCTGGTGGGTGGGCAGCTAAAGGTTATACTTAGAGTGCATCAGCTCTGTACGTGCAGACGTCTGCTTTTTGTTGAGTGTTTATGGGCCTTGCGTCTGTATCCTTTCCAGCATCTTCAGAGCTTGCAATAGATAAGTATTATAAAAGGTTTTTAACAAGTTGGCTATACCTCTGTCATACTCAGCCACTAATGTGCTTAAAGCACACAGCTAATTTGAAGGTATCTTTATAACTTTGGATTGCTTTTGCTGGATGTGCAAAAAAATACTTCCAGATGTGATAAGTCCCAAGGTACCAAAAATATTTAACTTTAAGGACTAATTCTTACTGTATTTTAAAGCTGATAATAGACAAATCTAAAAATGCAAGCTACGTACTCCCAATTGAAAAATATAGAAAGAAGGAATTAATTTCATCTTAGTTAAAGAGGAAGGTGGGGAACCACAGGCACACTATATATATCTTTGTATATTGTTTTAATTTCCTCTTCTGGTTCCAACTGGTAAATGTAAAATAAATGAAAAGGAGTGGCCAAAAGGGAAAACGAACCTCACATAATAACTGGTTTTTACTTTGTGTGATTTCTTCCTCAAAACTGCTGGTATGTTGGCTTTATATTTGGTTCTATCCTGTGTTAGCCTTCCACGATAAGTGCATGAAACATGTTGTGGTATTTAAACAAGTGTAGTTCAGTGTTGCATTTCTCTTACTTTGTATTAAGGTTGTTGCAAGTAGTGACCTTGTCTCTCTGTAGATTTGGTTTGTGTTTCCAATGTGGTACTAAAATCTGGTCCTGCAGGGCTGAAGACACAGAAGATTCACTGTGCCAGGCTCTGGAGCTCTGTCGTGAAATACTTCACACAGGCAGCTTTATGGAATTTAGATGAAACTTTTGATTGCACAAATTGCGATTAGCTCACTGGATTCAGCAGTATTACTCCATGTTTATGGCAAAGGAGTTGTGAGGAGGGAATGATTTATTAATGCTTGGTTTAGATGTGTGTATAGTATAGTACAGGTGAGCTCAAAACCTCATCACTTTAGGCACAGAACTTCAGAACTTTGTAAAATTTGAAATTAATTATTTCGACTTTTTTTTTTTACCTCCCTCCCACCTGTTTCCTTGTATTTGTCAGGAATCTGTAGAGTTTGTGTCCAAGTACATTCCGATTATTAAAGAGAAATCCCTAGTGAGCATTTTTGGTAGGTTTTATCCCCACATCTCATGAGCTTATTTTAGCAGCTTGTTACAGGTACAGTCTGCATCCTATATGCCAAATGTGAAACCACAGGGAAATATGTCCATATTCCTCATGCACATCTAAAAGATTAATTTTTTTTTCTCTATATATGAAGATATTGGAACAGGGAATAATATAGTTGGCATCAGCCCTAAAAAAACACATACCTCAGAGCATAGCCAGATAGAAAGAGAGCTCAGCTGTGTGTTGATGGCGTAGCATGGATATATGGACCAGAGATACTATTCCAAGTGCACATATATGCTCACACTTGTAATTCCTGCTCCCAGGATGTGCAGATGTTCTTTTTGACATCTAACCTTTGGGATTTTATTATTATTATTATTATTTGAGCTATCTGGAATATCTGGCTGTATATTATATCTTTTAAGAGGCTTACACTTGTATTTTAATGTGCTTTAATTCAGACAAAGCTATCCTTAGAAGATGGGAGTTGCTGCAGCAGTCAGCTTATTTGGTCGCGTGGAAATTTGGAGAGATGAGAACAGCTTCGTGATTGCTCTCGTGATCGGGCTAACAGCACCGCGGCCCATTTCTCTGATGAAGCCAGCGTTACAATCAGTTTTGTATAGATAATTAGCTGGCTGCGGGTTTGGGGTTTAAAACAGCGTTTCTCGCACTCATTATGCGCGGAGACGTCTGCAGGGAGCAGAGCGAGTGGGAAGCTGAAGGGCTACAAATCCCTGCACGCTGCAGACATGCTGCCACTCGGTTAGACATAGCGAGAAAGGGCTGTTGCTATAGTGACCCCCCAAGAGAGCGCCCAGGCCGGGAGGCAGCCGCCTCGCAGGCCCAAAATGCAGGCAGCTGCTCACCTGTGCACCGCTTCCCCCCTTTTTATTCTCTTTTTTTCTCTCTTTTTTCCTTTTTTCCCTTCCCTATTATATGCCAGTTATGTGAATATCTGAACTTTGCAAGGAGCCATTATATTGTGAATTATACAGATGAAGGAGGAAGCAGAAAAATATGACAGAGGGAGGAGTGCATAAGTAGGATTCTTACGTGATTTCTTCTCTTTAGTTTTCTGGCGATTAAAAGCTAGTTTTGGGAGAGCATACAATTTTTAAGAATCAAACCAATGCAGCAGATGATTATTTCAGATAGGAGATCTGAATGTTCCTATAAAGTTTAGGGTTTTATCTGGGTATTTTCAATACATATTCTCTTATGGAAGGAAAACTTTAAGGTGAAAAATTTTAAATAAAGCAAGTTAAGCTTAGTAAAAACTTTTTTTTTTTTTTGTCCATCTTGATTTTCACTGAAGAAGTCCCTTCAGAATATCTCACCCGCTTCTATTCAGGATATGCATTTAATTAAAGCGTGTCATTTGGGATCCTGCAGGACCAAGGTGGCTTTTGTCATTAATACAAAACATTTGGTATCTGCAATGTGGTACGGAACACACAGTGTGGAATTGTGTCAGTTGCCTATCTCGTCTGACAGGCACTTTACTTCTAACTTAGGACTCAGCTTCTAACAGGAACTCTACTTCTAACTTGGGTGCCTCGATTAGATGCTTATGTCAAAATGGGATGAATCCAAGTGACAATCTGAGAATCCATAGAGAGATAACTATCAGTTAATCCGTTCCAAAGGAATTCTTGTAAAAATATTGTGAAGCCACCATGGCATTGTATAGAAATCAAAGGGAAACTAGTTTTATAATTTTGCATCACTTTCTCATGCATGTGAGAGAATGCCTTTTAAAAAGTAACACATAACACATGGTTTGGATTGGAAAAAAACATCTCAAAGAGTCAGTGACTCACATTTGTTAACAAATAAGCCAAAGAGAACATTGGGGTGTCCTGTGAGGCCAGAACAACACAGTTATGTCCCAGAGATTATTTGGTTTTGGATATGCTAGTGACCACCCACAAAGGATATGGTGATTTCCCATTTCAATCATCTACACTGAACCTAACTTCAGTAAAATTAAAGATTTTGTATAATTGTCAATGTACAGGGATAAGATGACTTGCAACAGTGGAATGCAGAAGTGCAAATCACTTTGAAAAGAAAGACATTTTTCAGTATCTTACTGAGATTCCTGGTAAAGAGAGATGTAGTCTAGTTGATTTTGAAGTTGTGAGATGCTTTACGTACTACCTACCACTTCAAAACAAAACAAAACAAAAACAGATCTCCTTTTCCCCCTTACCAAGATACAGTGGAATTTCACTAGCAGAAGTGCCTTGCTTTCCTTGATTTCCTTCGTAATTTGCCATTGAAAAGAAGCTGTTGCTACCATGCCTTTTAACGTGTGTGTAGTAGCCACTTTCCAATAAAATGAAAACTGAAAAAAAAAAAAAAAAAAAGAAAAAGAGAAAGCGGGAATGAGATATCAAGATCAGAATGTGTACAGAGATCTTCATGGTAGTAATGGCTTAATCGGAATGGGAAAGCCTAGAACCCAACAGGAGGTTCAAATTAACTCTGTTTTATTAATCACCACTGAGACCTCCTTTTAAGATAGTTCCATTTGAATAATGCATTGTTTCTAATAACTCCAAATTGCTTAACAATTCTCTTTTTTCATTATAAAAATGGATTATTCTCATTAGATTAATTATGCATTTGCTTAATTAGCAATTCACATTGATCTCCTTGTTTCGTGCATTTCCACTTACAGATTTAAAACAAAGTGATAAACACCCTGTCTGATTAGGGAAGATTGAAGAGTATTAACTATACTCTCACTGAAGGCAGAACAGACTAAAATTTTTCCTGACATTCTCACTCTTTTACCTTGTTTTTTGAGTTTGTGATAATATAGAAACTGTTTTTATTTTCTCTTATTGCATGATCTTTTATATTGGTTTACGTTTTTGGGGGGGGCTGGGTTGTGCCTATCCTAAGTCTTTCTGATCATTCTTTTAATATAGAGCTTTGAGTTTATATTTGATGCTTAAATTTGCACCTTTATCTGTAAGCACATTTAAGGCATTCTGTCTCTAAAGATGTCTGCTTCACTACTACTGAGTCTCAGCTTGAAAATGTAATGCAGCTGCTGTAGTGTAAGCTTCAAAATAAATGTCATCGAAATATGTGATAACAAATTAAAAACAAAAATCTAATCTTTAAGTAGTACACTTACGTATGTTAGTGTAAGAGTTGAAATATATCCATTCGATTTTCTTCTAATGTGTGACATATTTATAATCCTTTTGTGTAATTATGTTGTTCAGAGTGTTGTAGCTGTGCCTGTCCATTTTCTGAAGATTAGCTTAGGGAAACTGTTTTTTATCACTTACATTGAGGAAATTTCGTATAAAGAAAACAGTGGAATAATGAAAAATAAATGTCAAAACACTCTTGGTAAGCAAGAGAAAAATCAGCTGTGACCTACTAAGTCTTACTGCTTTCTTGAAGACTTTTATGCAATGGAAAGAAATGTCACCAAGTCCA